ACAGGGATTTGGGGAGCTGTGCCCAACCAGATTCAGCCAGGATGGGAAGGAATGAGCTGATGGGAGGGAGGGAAGGAGGGATTCAGCAGCCTGGGCATCTCTGGTCATGTCCCCCTGGCTGAGCTGCCAAGGAACTGGAGGACATTTACCATGGGGTACCTCAAGCTCTGCAGACACCCCCAGGACTGAGCTGCTGCTGCTCTGCATTTCCAGCTCACCCCACAGTGCTACTGGGCATGGGAAGGGCTTGGTGGGGTTACAGCCCATGCAGATACCCAACCTATTCCTTCTGAGTCTATAAACACTTGTCTCTTCCCTTGCAAGAGCAAAGCAGCTGGAAAGGGACAGCCACAACCCCCTCCATCCCCATTATCCCTGGCCTGGCCTCTGGAGCCTCCCAGTGGGTCGGGAGACCCTAAAGCAAGCTGGCAGGGTGCTGCAAGGACACACACCCAGAAGGGAGCACAGCATGGAGCTGTTTTGGTGATGCTGGGGAAACAGGGAGCACAGCGAGGAGGAGGAGGTGAGGAAGGTTTGCTTCCCAGCACATCTCTGCCTGCATTTCACAGCTCCTCCCTCCCACCAGATCTACAGAGACTCACATCAGACTTTTGCCATCCAAAAGCTGTGACTGTTCCCAAAACCTCTGACTCTGGAGAGCCTGCCTGCGTGCACCTGGCGAGCCCCCTCTGCTCACTCCCAGCCTAGGGACTCGCATTCATTTCCCCCCAGATGAGCCACACTCTGGCTCAGCACCTGCAGATATTCAAAGCCTTTCATTTCTTCAAATCCCATTAAGGTTTTGCAAAAAGAAGCCCCGAGTGGGGCTTAGCATCTGCAGGGCCCTGATAACTGGTGGCAGGCAATGCCTCACACCAGCCGACCTGAGGAGGAGCTTCCATGGGGCATGGGACTCCTCTGCCTCCCTGGAAAGACTCAAATGGGGAATTTTGTCTAAAAAAAACCCACCAAGACTGAGGCTGCATAGGAACAGGGACAGATGGGATTCAACCACTCTTTAGATTATTTTCTGCCTGTGCTACAACAGCAATGGGAAGCAGAGAACCCCACGCAGGGCCCTGGCCCTGAGAAACACTGTTGGATGGACAGACTGCCTGAGGAGGGGAGGAATGATCCCACCTCTTTCCAGGGGGACATAAGACACTGAGAGATCAAAGGCTCATCTTGATGGCTGTGGCAGATTTGTACTTCCCTGTGTGCTTCTTTTTTTAAGCCTTCTCCCCCTCAAACCCTGTGCTGGATGAGCCCTTTTCCCTGCTGGGCAAGTCCCTGTCTGTCTGTCCTGCCAGGAAAACAGGGACAAACAATTCACTGGGGACAAATGATGCAGTGAGAACCACCTCAGCTTTCACCTCAACTTTCGCCTCAGCCAGAGACAATCCCTGGAGCCCTTGGGTGAGGACGAGCTCTGAGCACAGGCACCGACTCCATCCCCACCCACCCTGCCTGGAGCAGCTGCCCAGGATGGCTTCCTGGAGCCATGGGATCTGAGGGAGCTTTGAGGTGACATTTCCCAGCGAGCACGAGAGCAGGAGTCCCCAGCAGATCTCCAGGGGCTTCCTGTGCCCCACCAGACCCCTCTGGAGAGGGTCCCATATCAGGCAGAAAGCACAATGCCTGTCTTTACCTTTTGTTCATTATTCCCAGTGGATTAGCTGTAGCTGGGTTTCTAGCCCTTCCCTTCAGGACAAAAAGGCAGATGGAACCATGTGCCCTGGGTGGGAAGGTTCATCCCCTCCCTGGAACCCCCTCCCAGTGTTTTTCCCTGCCAGGGGAGGACACTGTACGTGCAGTTTGTTGGTAGCACACCCTTGTGTAACTGCCCGTGTCACCCAGGACTCCCTAATCATGTTTTGACTTGCACGAGATGGTGTTTAATCCACGCAGAGACGCAGGATGTCCCAGGATTATTCCCGTGAGCACACGCATGGTTCCATGGCCCTGGATTAGACTAAACCCCTCCGTGGTGACACCTCCCTGGAGAGGGGTGGGCAGGGGTGGCTGGTGGGGGAGTTGGGACCTGCCATGTACCTTCCTGACAGAGCCCTGGGCCGGGCCGTGGTGTGTAGCAGTGCCGTGAAGTCTCGGTGGTGTGTGCGTGGTGTCCAACGCTGTTCATGTGGACTTTATAAACTCCTTAATAAAAGGAACTCATCGTTAGCTGGTGTGTTGGTGTCTGTGCCAGCAGTGTGGGGACATCACTGGAGGAACCTGCCCTGGTGACCGTGAAAGAAACAGCACTGGGTTAACACAGCTCCTGCTGTGATGGAGTGCTCACAGCACAGAATCCCCGGGAAATGGCCCAAATTTGGCCACCCAAACCCCCTGCAAAAAAGTCAGGGAGGGCTGGGGGGACCCAGCAGGGCAGGAACAGGGCAGTGGAGGTTCCCCAGGGCTCCAGCCCAAACCCAGGCACTGTGGGACCTGAAGGTGGCAGATCTCAGTGGTGAGGGGACCCTGTGCTGGTGAGCAGAGCAGTGAGTGGAACCCCCGGCCCCTTCCCTGCCACCCACCCCCTGTCCCAGCGCAGGATGGACTGAGTAGGGAACATCTGGGTGCCAGTGGTTGGGGACCATGCACTAGCCAACAGTGGGGTAAGCACTCAGGCCAACCCCTGAGCAGTTTTGGGGGTGCAGGCGTCTCTCCTGGTTCCTGTGCCCCCACCACGCTCACACACACCTCTGGGACCCTCAACAGCCACCCATGAGCCAAGGGTGTGGGGGACACTTGTGCTCCTGGACCAGACCCTCCCTCCCGCCAGCATCCCCAACAGCTGCGGGTGACTCCAGGCCAGTATCCAGCCAAGTATTTTTGGAAAGGCCTGCTTAAGTTTCTTTGACTTAAAATAGATCCTGTCAGAGTGGCACCAATGTAGGTGGGACAATTCGGCTGCCTTGGAAACTTTTCAATCACCTGCCTTGCCCTCATTCTAAGTGTCCAAAATGAGGTCTTTGTGTTTCCCTTTTGTTTTTCACTCTTGGAGTTCACTGTGGACAAAATGTATAGTTTATTGATAGAACTGAGCTCTGTAGCAAAATTGTACTTTTAACTGGAAAGCTGAGAAGCATAAAATATGCCAGCTTTCCTGGGCTTTACCTACTGGTACAAATCCAGGGGGTGAAAACTGAAAAAGGTGATGGTAGCACTCAAGAATAACATCTGCTTCAGCCCAGTTACAGATTTTTCATTAAAGTTGCCCATCTCTGCAGTATCATGCCAGAGAGTGCAGGTGCAGGTTGGTAAAGACAAATAACAAGTGGAGGAAGGAAGTAACACTTGGATGCTTTTTTCTGGAAAAGGGAGGAGCTGGGGAGGGTGGGTAGGGGCTTGGGGTCAGCTGGGTCCAGTGCAGGAGCAAGGAGCACTCACAGCAGCACCCCAACCTGCATGCACAGGGTGGACGACTTGTCCCCCCATCACCAGGAGTAGCTTTTAAAGCAAGACCTGCAGCAAATAAAAAAATATGTGGATATATATATTAAAAAAAGAAGAATTTAAAAATTCATTGCCCTTTTGAGCCTTTGCAGCGGGAGGAAGGGGAGGCAGAGCAGCCCTCCCTGCACTCGAGGTGACCCCAGGTGCCCAAGCTCCCTCCTGCTCAGCTCAGCAGACCCTGCAGCTGGTGGGGCACCACTGAGCCCCATAAATCAAAGGGATGTCCAGCACCTTCCCCAGCACTCCCATGAGCCCAGCACTGCAGGCAGGACCTGGGCACGGGGAAGACAAGGCCGGCCCCAGTGAACCCACTCTGATCCTCCCCACGGAGCCTGAGCAGAGGGGCAGCCCAGAGCCCATCAGCCCTCCTGACTAATCAGCCCCCACAGCCACCCCCCACCCAGCAGGACCAGGGGAGCAGCTGCCAGGCTGCAATCTGGGTGCAGAAGATCAAGGGGAGCAGCTCTGAAGGAGGCAGGGGAGAGGCAGAGGGAGCTCAGGA